AATTGCTTAAAATTCAATGAAATTAGCATCTTGCCTTTGATTTATTGAATCTATTTAGGTTGTGTTTGGTTTGAAAGAAAAGGGGTAAGGAAAAGAATGAGAAAGGCAAGATGAATTTTGATAAAATTAGTTTTTTTAATGGGTTTTGGTCGAATTATGTTAGAGATTCAATTTATTACTTAAAAAATTGACAAAATTTATAATGCCAGAATATCAGAAGAGCTTTAACCAACCCGTAAATTTTGATAATACCACCTGATTGACTGACATGTTTATGATACCCGATTGATTGCTCAATTTTTTTAGATACCGTATCTTTTTTTGATAAAACCAAAAGGAGCAATACAAGACGGGGAATACCATGTCTTTTCGGTATCATTAATCGAACCCTAAAAAGCTTGTAGAATCGGTCTGCAATTCCCTTTCTTCTTTATGAACCGGCCGGACAAAAAGAAACTGGCTGCCGTCAACAACCGAAAGTGCAGTGTGGTTGCCTTTCATCCATTCTTTTAGAAAATAAAGAAAACAAAAGGCAACAAAGGATCCTTATTTATTAGCTTCGAAATTCTTTTCTTCCAAAATCCTTCTTTTGCCTTTTGACCCGAATACACGAAAGCAACAATTAAAGGAGTGTAAAAGGTGGCATCACAGAATATTTAGATTGTGTTTGGATTGATGCCAAAAATGAATCGATGGGCAGAAACGGGAAAGTGAATCCCCTACTTTCTACATTCCAGGCCTGACAATTGGGTCGGGTCAAAGCGTTTGTGGTCAATTTTTTGGTTTGGGTCAAAGCGTCTTTGATCTGCGTATATATTTATGTAACGATTTAAAAATGGTTTGCAAAATGCTCTAAAAGATTATTTGATGAAATACATGCATTTATACAATTATACCTAGAAAGGATAATTAGTCATCCCTTCAGTGCAATAATGCATATATTAACGCATTTCTCTGTTTTCATGTAATGTTTTTGTACATTTTTGTTTGATACTATGACCATTACTTTGTATTCATACAAGTTTCATAGTTGAATGAAATATGATGTTTTGTCATACAAAAAGGCTTAAGTGTTTAACTCATTAAGCCTTTATTGAATAATCGATTATGGGAAAAGCAGCCTGCACAACACTCAATATCAGTTAGAAAAAACACCTCTCAAACACTAATAACCATTTATTTCCCAAACAATGCCTATTTTAAAATCTTGTAAAACATCAAACCCGACTAAATTTTGCCCTTGGGACTCAAAAGATGGGGACTTATCACACCTACATAATTAAGTTTCTAGGGTTGTTCAACTTTTCATATAGTCATACAACTATGAGGTATTACTATACAATTGTGCCACCATCCGTCGAACAAATTATGCTACACAATCTTCACTACAATGTTCTACCCCTCCTAAGGTTTCTTTGAATCTCATGAATCTAAATTCATGGTTCAATCCAATCTAACATTGTAGTATTAATAATGTATTTTGAGTTTGCCTTCATTTTCTCTAATAAAAAAGAGTTGTTCTTGCTTTCGGAAATCCTTTCAGCTCTTTTCTAGCTCTAGGTTGATTATGATAGCTTTAATTAGACATGCATTTAGATCTGACCCTTAGGAGGGGTAGAACATTGTAGTGAAGACATTCTATAAGCCCAAAATATTCTTCTAAGGGCAAGTTTGGGAGTGTTTATTTGAAAAATAAGTGTTTATTCTAATAAGCACTTGTGAGCATTTGGTGAAAAAATATTTATTTTAAACAGTAGTATTATTTTTAAAATGATGTGACAAGTCAAGATAGGCCAAAATGGAATTAAGCACTCATTGAATAAGTACTTAAAAGTTAAAAATAAGCCCAAAATTTGAACTTTTCAAATAAGTGCTTATTCTCAGAATAAGCACTTATATTGGACTTATTTCCCAAATGCAAATAAGTGCTTATTGGTACTCAAAATATGTGCTTATTCAAATAAGAACTTATTTTTAAATACTCTCAAACTTAGCCTAAAGCCTGGAAAGCATAAAGGATGTTTAGTGACCTTCTTGGATGTTGAGATACCATCATGGCATCAATGAAAGGTCTTTGATGAATTGTTTAAATTAGATTGGGTGTTAATACTATTGAAGATTCTTCACTTGTGGTCTTGTGGAGAATCATTACAAGTATTTATTTCTTTTCAACATTTCTTTTGAAATTAGTTGGGGCAATTTGACATTCCACTACCCAGAAATGTTCTAATTCTAAGGGTCCGTTTGGTTTATAGTCAGAATCAAAATCAAAATTGAAATCCTTTGAAATTGGAATCGGAATCGGAATGGCCTATTGGCCTATTCCCATAGTCTGTTTGGTTCAGACGGGAATGGGAATGAAAATTGGAATCAGCAGGAATAAGATTTCATTCCCAAGGGAGGGGCAAGGAATGGCCATTCCCTCAAATTGGGGAATGTCATTCCAGCAGGAATGGAAATGGGATTCCAATTCTACCCAATCAAACAGCTGGAATCGGAATAGCACATTCCAATTCCAATTCCAAACCCCAATTCCTGCAAACCAAATGGGGCCTAAGAAAATGCATCCCTACTGTAAGGAGCAAGGTTTTCAAACTGTCATTGACCCGGATGGTCAGACTGTTCAGCCAAGAAACTAGTCAGGGTACTGGTTCCATTTCACTCTTGAACTGATATTTCCCAAAAACCATTGAATTTGTTAGTGACCCACTAACCAGGCGCTCAAACTGTTGACCTATTGAATTTGAACAATGGTTTTCGAACCATTTTTTTTAAATGTCATGGGCTGATCTGTTTGAACTGGACAGCCAAACTAGTGCTAGAAGGTTAGAAACCAATGGCCAAAGTGATTCGGGTTCCAGATTGATTTTTAAAACTAAAGGCCCCATCTGTTTATAGCTTTGACTGCTTTGATTCCAAATTTTCAATCCATCCACCCATGATCACCCTTAACTTCAGCCCAATCCGACCTGACTTTTTCAAGTTGGAATTGGGTTAACTTGGCCCAAGTTGCACCCCTAAGCATGTGGGTGTCTACTGTTATATACACTAATATGATGATCCAGACATCCAGTTGAAAAATAAAAATTATTGGATTACATGTTTATTATCAATTATGTGAATCACTCTAATGCAAAAGTATTTCTCACTTGAATCCATTGAGCTCTTAAGATACTAGGCTAAAGTCATGTGAATATTTAGGTGATTGATTGTAATTTATTAGATTTTAAGAAAATACTCTATAAGAAGTCCATACCATCAAACCAGAAAAGAGTGTCATTTCCAAAGCTTATAATTGATCTAGAATATTTGCCAATAATCCTAGTTAGATTTGGAACTTTTGTTCAGAACTCCTATTTGGATTAGGACTCGTATATAAGACCATTCCTAATCGAATCAAGAAACTTTGTGAGCAATCCCAATTGCATTGAAAGGTTGGTTTGGTAACTTCTCTATGCTTGAGAGTTTACTTTAAGGCTATGTTTGGTTTGAAGGAAATAGTAGGGAAAGGAAAAGAAAGGCAGGGAAACCTGTGCAGACCTTGTATGGGTTTTCCTCTCTTTCCCTCTCTTTCCCTTCCTTTCCCTACCTTTTCTTTCAAACCAAACACCGCTTCAATGTGTTACTGGGCACCCATGCTGTTTTAGTGTCTTTCCAATTCTACCCACCAATTAGAGAAAATGGAATGTGATTCCTATCTTACCGAACCGTGGGCATAAATTTCAAACTTAACTGGTTTAACTGAAAACTGAATCAATCGGTTTAGCTAACTGAATTTTTTTGTTTGATTCGGTTTTTCAAATTTCAGTTTTTTATGAGCACCTCCTACCAAGTACCAACTAGTGACAGCCCTAATAAGATCTTGAACCATCAGTTTTATGATGGTTGCCTAACAATGATCTATCAGTGATTCAGTATTATGATTTGCAACGAGTAGGTTGTCAAAGCACAGTTTGCAGGACCGAGGTTGGTTTAGGTCTCCTTGAATGGACTGGATATCAGAGCTAGCATCCCCTGATCAGGCAACCGTGTTTTCATCTCGGTTGTATCGGTGTTTAAATTCTTATTTTAATGGTATTTATATTTCTTCGTCAAAAAAAAAAAAAATGCCCTCCCTCAAGCCTCAGTCGCAACTCGATTCTGAATCTCTGATTCCCGTATGAACCAAACATTTGGGAGACGGGAGGATTAGACCATTCCTATTCCGATTCCAACTGCAAATCAAACAGATCCTGGCTTCATTTGCTTTCATTCACTAATCCTTTTCACTGTTTTTGGTGCCTAAGCTGACATTTAGGCCATGTTTGGTTCGTTGCCACGGGCCTCATTGTTTCAATTTTTACTCATTAGGCAAGTAGGAGATAACCGAACCGTGGGGCATCTTTTGGAACCAAATTGGTGCTACCAACCAGTAACTGGAACCGAACTGAAGTCAGTTAGTTAACTGGTTGACCAATTTGGTTAACCGTTGGTTCGATTTGTCGGTTTTTTAACTTTTACAATATATATTATAAAAACATATATAAATATATAATAAAATATTATATTTTAAATAACAAAATAATATATTATATTATATATATACTTATTTATATAATGCATATTTATTAATTTATAATATATAAAATATATATAATATACATAAATATATATAAAATATATAAAAATATATGTATACTGATCAGTTCGGTTAACCACCGGTTTTCTATACTGGTTAACCAAAACCAAATCGATACCTTCGGATTTTTAAAAACACCGAACCGAAACCGAACTGATCAGTTCAGTTAACCGATTTTTTTATTCAGTTTCGGTCGATTCAGTTTTTTGGTTTGTTTGCTCACCCCTAGGCAAGAATAGACAAGATTAATGTTCAAAGTTACAAACTTCAAAATTCATGTTAGGACTAAATCAGGGCCCAATCAATCAGAAGGCACCAACTGATAAATAAATAAATAGAATGTGTTAAATTCGATATCATACCTTTGGATTGGCAAATAAAGGAATTCTGAATTCATGAGACAATAACTAAAGAAACTATAAATTAATAGGATAACAAAGCATCAATCCACTACAAGAATTAATAAATATAACAAACTGAGGCGTAAAAGAGAACTACACAAAAGAGGCATTTCACTTTAGATATCACAGCTGAAATCGTTTTTCTAAACCAGAAAAGATACATGCGTCAACACGACCCAAATAGCTACTCTTTTCTGTATTTGAACTGGTGAATTCCATCCAGATTATTAGTGTACATCTAAGAGATGAAACAGCTTGGACTGGCAGCTCCAATCGGTCTGGGCATTTGGGATTATGTTTGTTGCATTGGGTGTGTTGTTCGGGGAAGGATGGTATTGGCAAGCTCTTCATTGATCTTCACTGGAAGTGACGGCATCTGCTTCATTACGCCTGGCATGTCATTCAAGCTGCCACATGTACGTGTCAGTTACACATGATACCCAGAAAGAGAATGAAGGAAAATTAACTCTATCTTCAATTCTTCATATAATAATTGAGAAGGAACAGAACATAGTACATGTCATGCCCATCCTAAGCAAAACAACACCCAAACCCTCGAGAACTATAACATCCTGATGTTTCTTTTTTTGATGGATAATACATCCTGATGTTTTTTGTCATTTGTCATAGGCCCCTCTTTTCTTGTCTGTAATATTTCACTGTATTTGATCCCTTCTCAAACCATCCACAACAGGAAAAGAAAATGAAAAAGGAAAACAAGGCAATTAACAAATATCCATTTCCAAAATGGAAGAAACTAGTTATGTAAAACAAATATATTATCACTCTTTACAAACTTGCAATAGCTTTTTTTTTTTTTTCTGGAGAATTGGAAAAAGATAGAACACCAAGAACATAGACTACCAAGTTTGCTACTTACTCGTCCAAGATGGTCAAGATATTATCCCGAACTTGGCAGAAGAGTTTGATGTTATCTTGTAACTGCAAAGGGGGAAGAAGTGAAACAAAGATGTCAGCTCAGTTCATTTGCAACAACGCATGCCTGTCTGTGTGACCATAGCAAGGCATTCCATGTTTCAAAAGATGGGAAACTTACCCTCATGATAGATTCTAACAATGTTATATAATACAAAATATAATACCACAGGGTAACTTTTGTGAAGAATACCCAGAAGCAACTAAACCTCACCGCCTACCAGCTTCAGATTAGTTTCTTAACAGTAACATTCTTTCTTTAATTAATTTTTCCATATTCACATTAGTATGACGTACTTTTTTTTCTGAATTAGTAATAAAAACTCGTACTTTTCTGTATTTTGCTTCCCTCTATTTGGAGTGAAGATAGGGGGGGGGGGGGGTATATAAATATATATTAGAACACTTGTTTCAATGATCTAATTAAAAATATGGGCCAGTAAATATCATTACGATGAAGGACCGATACACAAAACTTGTAGAATTAATTTATTCTATAGGGGCCCATATTGGGCCATTTCGGGAGATACAGATCCGATATTTCACTTCCCTCTCTCTCTCATGAATGTTTTTGTTAATTACTCCTATTAATTTATTCTATTTTCAAGGCAGGTTTTCAAATTCGAATGTAGATTCTAATGACCAATTGGAAGCTTTAATTACTCTTGCATTTAAGGCATGTTTTGTATTTGAGTTCGACCTGCCTGTTAGATGGATAACAGTCAAGGAAAAGAGAGAAGAGAGAAGAGAGAAAGAGAGAAAGAGAGAAAGGAGGAGTAGAAGAGAGGACAAGGAAGAAAAGGTCTGGTTCGAATGAGAGAAAAATCAACCCTCCCATTCGGCGAGATCTATTTTATATTACTAAAATATTGTGGAAAAGTCACATGTGCCCCTACTTAAGTTAGGGACATTAGATCTATCATAAACTTACACATCAGCACCTAACCATAAGCACAAAGACAGAAATACCCCTACATACTCGACACTAACACTCCCCCTCAAGCTGGAGAGGGAGTTACATATGTAGTCCACTCTACCCCGACTCAATCCTTTAGTAAACAAATCTGCCMAYTGGTTCCCTGTGYTGACATATGCAGTGTCTATCACTCCACTCAGCACCTTCTCTCTAACAAAGTGACAGTCAACCTCTATGTGCTTGGTTCTCTCATGAAACACCGGATTAGAGGGTGA